AGGGTCAGATGCCAGTTAATTGACTGACTTGCAGATGCAATGACCAGTGGGGGGGGCCCTGGAGTGGATGATGACACACGGGTGCCGACGTTCACAGGCCAGGTCAGGGCCCCCAAAGCTAGAGAACCTGGAGAGAGAACAAAGCCGGAAGAGAGAGCAGCGGCTGGAGACAGGGAGGGAGAAGGAGAGGTGGGGGGAGGGACGGAGAGCAGGGTGCAGACGTGGGCAGGCGGTGTGGCACGGGGCTCTGAGAGGTCATTGGTGCTCAGGAGGGATTCGTGGAAGCGGGGGCACAGACGGCCCCCCACGGCTGGCCAGGGAGCCCAGCGGGGAACTCGGGAAGGCAGTGGCAGGGGTACTGCTGCCCGGAGCCGTGGATGAGAGGCCCTGGCTGGCCACTGGGTTCAAGGGGACGGGGGTGGGCAGCCGGGTCTGTGCAGATGTGATGGCCCTGACGAGCCTATGAGGTCAGCGATGGGGGTGGGGGTGGGGGAGGCAAGACCAGCACTTCAGATGAGCAGAGAAACACAAGGACACCACAATGCGTCTGGGGCCCCCAAATGGCTGAAGCCAGGGACAAAAAAACCCCAGCAGGAGCGGGGACGGGAGGGGACGGAGATCCCCACGGTGGCTGGGCAGCATGTCAGAGCTGTGTCCCCCCGGCCCCACACAGCATACGGGCACTGGCAGAGGGGACAGAGAGTGACGTGTGACCCACTGGCCCTGGCGCGGTCTTGGACACCAGCACGGTCGAGTCAGAGACCTGCTCCCCTCCCCAGAAGGGGGGCACCAGTCCTGTGTGCAGAGACCAAGGGCCGTGGGCAAGAAACAGGGCGTGGGGCTCGCTCTAGGGTCCTGGAGGGCTAGGGGCTAAGGCGACCCTCGTCAGCCCACACATATCCTTCAGTGACCTGTAGCAAACGCTGCCACCATTTCTCTGCAAGGAGAGGGAAGGGCAGGAGGGATAGACGGGCAGGAGGGAGGGACGCTAACTCTGAACCTCTACAAGCCAGCAAGGTACATCCTGAATCGCTTCCTGCCCACAGCCGACGTGACGGCTGCGAGCAGACGAAGGCACTGGCAGACGCCACTGGACAACTTCATTGAGACCGAGGCATGTCCTGTGCCCTTGGAGAGTGGGGGCAACCAAGGTTGGGAGCTGTGACTGGGCAGAGGGCCCTTCCCCGGCCATGGGACACTTGGGACTCCCTGGCAGCCAGGTCCGGCTCTCCCAGTCAGAGGGTGGATGGGTAGGGCCGAAGTCCGGATGAAAGGAGGCTGGAGGCTGCCTCACTGGCCCCGGCCCACGGGGGGTCTGGGGTGGGGGGTGCACCTCACGGTAGAGACAGGAAGCACAGCATCAAGGTCACATGGTCCCTGGCTCAGTCCACAGGCTGGAATCTTCCTGTTCCTGTGCCAGGGTACCCCCCGCCTCCCAGCCCCCAGCAGAGGGGACAGAGTTTAGCCCCCACTGGCCCTTCAGGCCAATGGCAGGAAGCATCTACAAGAGGCTGGGGGCTGCAGTGGGTAAGCGCGTGGAGGGGCTGGAAAGGGGCGCCCGGAGGGGGCATCGGAGCCGTACCCCACCTCCCCATCCCTTAACCCTGTCCCTTTCCTCCTGAGTGTTCCTGTGTTCGCCTCTTCCGTGACCCACGGGTGAGATGTGGATGTGATATCTCTTTACCCAAAGTTCTTACCTACTTTTGTGATTTTGGGGGGTGGAGGCTTACCTGGCAGTGCTCAGGGCTGCTCCCAGGGGTGCTGGGACTCCACCCTGACCTCCGGCAGGTAGAGCCCCCAAGCGTCGCTGTGGGCCATCTCCCTAGCCCAAATTTTGTCCCTTTTTTTTTTTTTTTTTGCTTTTTGGGTCACACCCGGCGATGCTCAGGGGTTACTCCTGGCTTTGCACTCAGGAATTACTCCTGGCGGTGCTCGGGGACCATATGGGATGCTGGGAATCGAACCCGGGTCAGCTGCGTGCAAGGCAAACGTCCTACCCACTGTGCTATAGCTCCAGCCCCAGTTTTGTCCTTTTTAATTCTTCCTTCCTACGGGGCTGCTGGGTGGCCAACCGGCTGCCCGTGTCAGCCTCTCGGCCGTGCTCTCCAGGCAGTGATGGTGTCCCTGAGCTCCTGTTCGAACGTTCAAACCATTGCCCTGTCCCTGCTGATTTTGTTCAATTCTTTTCCCCTACTTCAACGAAGATCATCAGCATGGCCCCTTCCAGGCCCTTTGGGTGAATAGCCGAGCTCTGTTGCATTTCTACCTTCCCCGGTTTTGTGTTTTGTTTGGTTTGGGGGCTTCCTCCTGGCTCCACACTCCGGGATCATTCCTGGCGGGGCCCAGGGGCCCCTGTGGGATTGTGGGATGTCAAGGATCAAATCCAGGTCTGCCACGTGGCAAATGCCCCACATTGTGCTACTGCTCCGGCTTCCCCAGCTTGGCTTGAAGTCTGTCCTCTGCGGTCCTTTCATTTTGTCTGACATCTCTGACCCTGGAAGACACCCAGGACAGAGGACGGAGGCAATCTCACAGCACTCGGTGGCCGCGACCGGACAAAGGCCACAGTGGTTTGGGGTAAGATGTGTTTCCAGCTAGCGGAGAGGGCTGCGCATCACGGGCCAGCTGGGGGCTGAGTAGAACATGACGTTGGAACCTGCTAACTCAGCCTCTGCAGATGACGGAGACGGAGCAGCGGTAACAGAACGACAGGGCGGCCCTGGCAGCGCGACAGCCAAAGCAAGGGGATTTCACACCCCACTTACAACCACAAACACACCCCGAGCAGGAAAATAAATAAGAACGTAGACTAAAATAAAGAACGACCAGATGGGCGAAGCAGATACGGCACCCACCACTCGAGAACAGGTAAACAATGGGAAGAGGCACCACGTTTTCTCAGGCGCACACAAAACGTTGGGATGTGAGCGTCAGAACCGAATGAAGACTGTGGGGCTGGAGCAACAAGGACAGCGGGAGGGCATCTGCCTGGCATGTGGCTGACCGGGCTCACTCACCGGCACCCCAAAGGGTCTCCCGAGCTCCTCCAGGAGTGATTCCTGAGCACAGAGCCAGGAGTAAGTCTCAAGCACCGCCAGGTGTGGCCCCCAAACAAACAAACAAACAAAAACCAGAAGTCGACCACACACAGCAGCCCTGGGCAAGCCTCAGTCCCGGAGACCGAAGGTCACGCTCCCAGCTCTCACTGGGTCCCACAAGGAGCTGAACTACTTGGAGAGAAATGAAAACAAAAACATAATGGTCAGAACCACTGGGATGGGCCCGGGCACTCAGAGGGACGGGATGAGCAATTCAGGCCCAAGAGAAACAGAAACCTCCCAGGAACACTGGAGCCTTGCCCCTGGGAAAGAACAAGGTCAAAAGCTGGAAGATGGAAGAATGGGAATGGAAAGCAGAGCCAAAGCCATGAGACCTGAAGCCGACAGAGGGTCACAGGAGAGAGCGGTGCCCCCCAGGGGAGCGGCCAGGAGCCGGCTGCCACGTGGGGCCTCGGTGCTACAGTCTGGCAGGGGTGCCAGCCAGAGCCCAGTGCCAGGGACTCCGGGCAGCACCATGGCCGAGTGGGGAGCACAGCTGTCCCGGAAAGTACCACAATCTCCCAGTGCCACTCCCGGTCACCACAGCATCAGGAGGGGGACGCGGTGGCAGGATGAGGCTATTCTGTGAGCTGGCTCACAGGAAAAACAGAGGTAAACTTGGTGATCTAGAAGAGATGGGTCGGTTTTGGGAAAAGTACCATCTGCCAAGGACTGGATTGGGACCGGAATGAACGCTTCTCTACTGTGAACAGACCCGGGACCAGAGTGACAGTGCAGCGGGGCAGGGGGACCCAAGCCAGGTGCCATCCCCGGCATCCCAGAGGCCCAGAGCACCACCAGGAGAAATTCTTGAGTACAGAGCCAGGAGTAAGCCCGGGGCATTGCTGGGTATGCCCCCCTCTCAAAGGAAGGCGAGGGAGGGAAAAATTCACCCGGGGACATCCTGGATGATAATTTCACGGCTGAGGGGGCCAAACCTCGTGGACACAGCCAGGCCGACACGCACAATTCCATGTCTGTGCTTGCCACAGTGGGGGCAGCCAAGGCCGCGGGCATCTCTGTGGGCACAGAGACGCACCCGACAAGACCCGGCACGTCCACTTCGGGACAAAGCTCTGATGAAGTGGGACAGCATGAACATCCCTCGACATAATGAAGGCTGCAGAACTGCAGGTGTGCAGCGCTTTGTCCTTCACTAGGGAAAATCAAAGCTTTCCCAGCAAGATCGGGAGCAAGACCCGGCCGCTGACACTTCTCTCCTCTGTGAAAGTCCGTCAGAGCAGTCAGACAGTGATGGGAAACGACAAGAAGCCAGACCGGGAAGGGGAAGTGACGTTCCCTTTACCCACGGCTGTTGCACTAAAATGACGATGAAGATCCCAATCGAAAGCTCTCAGAGAGGGGCTGGAGCGATAGCACAACGGGTAGGGCCTTCGCCTTGCACGAAGCCAACCCGAGTTCAATTCCCAGCATCCCATAGGATCCCCCAAGCACCGCCAGGAGTAATTCCTGAGTGCAGAGTCAGGACCACGGACCACGCCCCCTCCCCCCCGCCCACCCCCCCCCCCCCAGCAGACGAGCCAGCGTGAACACTGAGTATGGCCAGGAGCTGGTGCTCCCTCGTACCATCAGCCCCGGCCATCTGTTGGGGAAGATCCAGCTGGAAGCTGCGTGTGCTCCAGCCGGAGACGAGCAAAGAGCAGGTGCTGGGACGGCAAAGGGTCCGGGGGCCCCAGGGAGAAACAGCCCTGGCCCTGCCTCTGCTCCCCACAGCCCCCCCCCCCCCCGCCAAGGCCAAGGCAGACACAGGTATGGAGGCCCTGTAAGAAGCAGACACGAGAAGACCCTCCGCACGGCCTGTCCTGTCCATCTGTCTGTCCGTCCCTGTCTCGCACAGCCTCGTGGGGCTGAAGGGGCCGGTGGTGGGGTGGTGCGACTCACACTGGCTGGATTTTGGTGAACTCGGGCACCTCCTCCTTCTTCTTCCTGAAGAGGAACCAGTAGGTGAGCAGGCCCACGATGAGTGAGAAGAGGACCACGTCCGTGGTGCTGAAGAGGGACACCTCCTCGGCCCCTGCGTCCGGCGCGCCGCTGTCCACACTGGACCCCCCCATCCTGGTCACACACTGTGGGGGGAGAGAGCGAGAGAATAGACTTCAGCAGGGAGGTGCTAGGATACATCCCCCCCCCCCCCGCTTCCAGCCGGAACCTCGGGGCCCCCAGACGGCAGAGGCAGGCACCATGCAGCTGCCCCAGAACCGGGCTGGCAACTGCAGGCTCCCAGAACCATCCAGAATCCTCCACACCGTGGAGACAGCGAAGGAAGATCAGGTGCAGACAACTGCCCCCGCACCAGGTGGCTGGCTGTCCAAAGCCTCCAGGTTGAGCACTGGGGAAGGAGCACTGCATCATTTACGGATGTGAGTGCTCCAACTCCCCACAGAACCTCGGGCACGGGGGCTCAGCGGGCGGGGCTGCCACCCTGCGGCCCGTGACTTGGGGATCCCCTGGGCTCTGTTCTGGGGCGTTCGCTCCTTAGCTGGAACCAACCACAAGCTGAAATGAGACAGCTGCCTGGCCTGGGTCCTAGGGAGCCACTGAACCAGAGGGTGGTCTCAGGGGACCCCCGACACATCGCCTTAGTTCCCTGGAGAGGGGCTCCCCTGGTCCTTCCGCACAGGCCGTGGGCAGGCGGGGAGAGCCAGACATGGCAGGGCAGGCCCGACGGGGAACCCATGTCACCCCCCTCTGCAATCACGGCTGCCACCCTCGGGCTCCCAGACTCAGTCATGGCCCCGCGCCTCAGGCACTGGGCACGGTCACCCTTATGTCCCTTTGCCATCCCTGGTTCCAGGAAACCTCCATGTGTCATCTGTCACACTCCCACAAAGTCGGAGGCGAGGACAGCGGTGGAAGGTTCTGGAAGAACCAGTCCTGTCGAATCACTGCTTGGCCAACATGGGAAGCCCAAGAGGAAGCAGCAAAGGGTTCTGTGGGGGCACAAGCACAGACCCAGCTGGGGTCTATCACACGTGTCCTGCCCCTTGCTGGACCCCAGGGAGGGGAGGCCACCATGGTGGCACGGGGCAGAAAGTGTCCAGGAGAAGGAGGAGCGTCGTGCTGGGGAACCCCCGAGACCCCAGCCTTCAGGAACACATAACTGCCGTGACAGACACGCATCAGGGGGTAGGTGGGGGTCCTGTTCCAGAGGGGTTCGCGGTCACCTCTCTGGTCCACTCCTTCAGTCATCCCTCCCTGCCCAATCCCTCCCTCACCTCCAAGAGAAGCAACATGCTGGGTTTCGGCTGCGCCCCTCAACCCTTGCAGCCCCCCCCCAAATCCGTCTGGACCTCCTCTCCACTCAGGCCTCAGAGACTGTCCTTGTCGGGGCGCTGAGTGGGCAGGAAGTGCCTTCAGCCTGAGCCCTCCCTCCTCATGGGCAGTGAAAGGAGGAAACAGAACCAGAAGGAGCAACTTCTGCTTTCTGGGGGGCAGGGCGTGGGGGGGCCGCAGGGCAGTGCTGGGGAGAGAATCTGAGCCAAGGCTGACTGGCCCTGCGGACGTCCTGGCACTATTCCCTCACCCACAGGCGCCTCCAAAGTCCTCAACTGTACAACTGGGTTCAGGATAGGGAGTACCTCCCAGGGTGTGTGTGGAGCACGCTGACGTGAGCATCTACCCCACTGGGCCAGCACACGTACTCTCCTCTATCATAAAGGACGTCTGTCTCGCACGTGGCCGACTCAAGCTCCATCCCCGGCATCCCACAGGGTCCCTAAGCACCACCCAGAGTGACTCCTGAGTGCAGAGCCAGGAATAACCCCTGAGCACCACCGGGTGTGACCCTGTCACTGTCACTGTCTTCCCGTTGTTCATCGATTTGCTTGAGTGGGTCCAGTGACACTGTGAGACTTGTTGTTACTGTGTCTGGCATATTGAATATGTCACGGGGAGCTTGCCAGGCTTTGTCGTGCGGGCGAGATACTCTCGGTAGCTTGCTAGGCTCTCTGAGAGGGTCAGAGGAACCGAACTCAAGTCGACCACATAGGCGGCGCGTGCAAGGCAAACACCCTACCCACTGTGCTATCGCTCCACTGGGTGTGACCCAAAACAAATAAACCCCAGACCAGGGAACAGAGAAAACAGGATGCTAGAGTCTGCCAGAATCTGCAGCCCGGCACACTACAGAGCAGGGTGGGCCTGTGGCAGGCCCTCAGACCACGGGCACCAGTAGGAGTCCTCCTGCGCTAGAAAGGGCAGGTGAGGCAGAACCTAAGGGCACTTTCCCTAATGACCACACACGAGTGCAGGAAGCCTCCTCCAGGAAGTCTTCGTGTCTTTGCATTTACCGTCCACCCCTCCTGGATGTAAGCAAGGTCGGCCAATGGATCTGATGCTGACTTCATGGTGAGTAGGTCACCAGGCCAGGCAGGAGGAAGGAAGCTGGGGCACGAGTGTCGCCGGGATGGCCCAGATGACGACATCCCTTCCCCCTACTGTGTTGATGGGGGCTGGGCGGTGGCTCAGAGAGTTCATAAAGCGCTGCTCAGGTTCAGTGGCTTCAGGATGAGGGGGGAAAACGCCCAGAAAACAGCCCATTCTTGCCTCAGGGCTCAGGGCGGGGAGAGGCAGGGACAGGGAGAGACAGAGTGGGAAGGGGAAAGGAGAGATGGGGAGGGGGAAGGCTCCGGGAAAACTCCCCCTGCCCCAGCGTGGCCCCAGCTACAGGCCCCCACAGACTCCGACAAACCCGCAGGGGCTGGTGGAAACTTCTCTGGGTCAGAGATTCGCTCCCTTCATCTAGACTTGCAGGTCCATGAACTTTCTTTAGCCACATTCCTCCCAGCGCTGCCCTGCCTCCCCACCAGCTCGTGTGACCTCAGCCAGCTCCCTGTTGTGCTGCAGCCTCAGGTCACTGTGACTGCACCCGCGCGCCCCCTTCAAGCTCAGTCTCCCAGCCGCCACCCTGCCCAGAGCCGCTCACTTGAGCCCCCGCTCGATCTGCTGCCCATTTCCAGCTGGATGCCCTATGGCCGCTCTCCCAAGGGTATGGTTCATCACCTAGTGGCCCTCGGGGCTGGCCCTGAGGCTGCCTCTCTACTCAGCTTCTCCCTGGCCCCTGGGTGAGCGGCGGTTACCCCCTAACATGAAGCCCGGCTCTTGGGATAGGGCTGACTGCTGCCATCATCCCCGGAGAGGTCAGGCGAACTCAGGGAGACACAGAATGGGGCACCATGAGCCATCATCAGGTGGGGCTACAGCAAAGACGGGCACCCCCTGGCCCCCACAGATGGAGGCAAGAGAAACTCCAGACCCCAGGGCGGGCACCTGGGCTCAGAGCAGGAAAGAGCAGAAGTCATGGACTCGGGGGCCTCGAGGCGGGGCTGAGCTGCTGTGTGGACAGGAGCAGCACAGCAGAGGTGAGACTTTGGGAGTGGGGGGGTCCCCCAAGTAGTACTCAGGGGCCAGGTCAGACTGCTCCTGAGGATTCTCAGCTAGGTCTCCTGGTGGTCGGATGGGGGGTGGGGGGGCCCGAGAATGAGGGCTCCGGGGAAGGAGGGTCGGAAGGGGGAATGCTCCCCACCCCCAGAGACAAGACTGACAGGCATCCGAGAGCCAGCGCAGGCTTGGCTCAAAGTGGGAGCCCCGTATGGTCCCCAGGAATTATCCACCCCCCTAAATAAATGATTTAAAATAAAGATAACAGAGATGAAAGGCCTTGGTGGCAACCACAGAGCCAAGACGCGCTGCAGAGAGCGATGTCAGCAGGGCCCTGGGTTGAGGAGTGGTGTGCATGAGGTGGGGGGGGACACACACAGACAGGTGGCAGTTCCCCAACTCAGTGAGACCCCGTCCACCCACCCAGCTCTATATGGGTGGACTGGCTGCTCCCCTGAACCCTCGGCACAATGCCCAGGGCAAGTAGGGGTGTCGTTCTCAATACTGTACCGCTTGAGTGGCAGCCTTGATCCTCGCTGGGTGTGATGAAGGAAGAGAAAGGAACGCGCCGAGCACGGGCTTGTTCACTCTCAGCAGCAGCAAGCGTGGGGGGAGACCTGGGACTGCCAGAACAGGGTGGGGACCACACCCTCTGGTCCCGACTTACATAAGTCTGTGGTGGGGTCAGTCAACCCCTCCTGGGGACTTGAGGGGGTGGGAAGGGGCCATCCTAGGATAGCTAGCATAGCTCGCCAAAGCCAGCCCGATCTCCCCAAAGCCAGCCCAGACTCTCCAAAGCCAGCCCGGACTCTCCAAAGCCAGCCCGGACTCTCCAAAGCCAGCCTGGCCTCCCCAAAGCCAGCCCGGCCTCCCCAAAGCCAGCATAACCTCCCCAAAGCCAGCCCGGACTCTCCAAAGCCAGCCCAGACTCCCCAAAGCCAGCCCGGCCTCCCCAAAGCCAGCGTGCACCAAGGGCACAGCCCTGGCTTGTGTTCCCAGGAGGGAGCCGTCCCTGAGAAACAGCGGCCAAGGAGAGCTGGCCCGACGCCAAGGAGGGACCCAGGCAGCAGGCCTGGGCAGGTGAGAAGCAGGGCTGCCGTAGATGGTCCCGCCACTGTGCAGAGGTGCGGTCCCTCAGTGGAAGGTGGGGACCAGATTCAGCGACGGAGGGGGCCGGTGACACTTCTTGGGTGTCTGAGCTGCTCTACACAGCAGTGACACTGACTCGGACCCGTCTCCTGAGCCGCACAGCTGAGAGGGGCGATCCTGACCACAGCGTCAGGCATCCTCAGACGGAACACGTTTCTCTCCCCGAACATCCCCAACCTTCTGAGACGGGGAGGCCCTGGCTCCATCCCGGCACCACATGGTCCCTCCGAGCCACCCCCGAGACTACCCCCAAGCACCAAGCCAGGAGTACCTCCTGAGAATGCCCAATGTGACCTCAAAACAACCACAAAATTATCCACCCAGCCTCCACGAGATTCGCATTTTTAGACTTCTAATACGTAAGCTGTCTCCAAATACGCTCCATCTCCAGCCAGACTGGGAAGGAAAAAGAAAAGAGGACGATTAACTAGCTCCAGGTCTGACAGATACCTCGTTCGGTTCGTCCAATTCTTCGGCTCTTCCGGGGAACTCACAAATGGCAAATCTGGAGTATCCTCAGAAAGAAATCCAGCTAGCA